ATGCCTGTGCAGTGAGTAGAAACAACTTAATGGTTTAGTGTAAGGTCATGCATCACACTTTGCCAAGGTCATTCTGCATTATGCAATCACTATGATCATGGACTGGGCAGAGGCACAGGGAATAAAACTCACAATGAGCCATTTGCACCTGAGACGTCGAGCCGGTGATGATGGTTAACTGGGAGTTATCCAGGACGTTGCCAGGCCTACCAGGGCATGACAACTACATCAGATTTGTGTGCTGCAGGTGTGAGAAGTGTCTTGATTGCACAAGTGCTTTTAAAATTGGCACTTTCTTTCGTGCTCTATTGTAATGCACAATGGCGACAGGCACGTCCATGAGCTGAATGCCAATGTCGAGGCCTGCGAGTCCCTGCCCCATGCCGCAGTGCTTCCAGCTCTGCACGGCCTCCGCGTGCCCCGCCAGGTCACCTGTCCATCTGCCAGCTGCTGCGATAGCTGAAGGCACACTTGATGCTGGAAAGCATCATGAGGCTGATGTCCTCAAACACGTCTTGATCCTCTCCTCCCATTTGTCCTGTTTGATGCAAGTAAAAGACAAAGACAAAATATCCCAATGTAGCCTTTAATGTATTTTTGTGAGTGAGAAGCGCTCAAATGGACCTCTTCGGCTCAATATATTAGGTTACAAACCGTTTTGGTTTGCTTTTTTCACTTACCCTATTCTTTAGCTTCACAGCACCATAGGGGCAACCCGGACTTTAAACATGCCTTCCCCTCTGCACAGAAAACCTGGACTTCTGGATTCGGGCCTGCTTCGTGAAACTGAAGCCGAGGCCTGTGCTAGTCTGCCCCACACTCCGCGTGCTCAATAACGGTAAGAGCCCTGCACAAAAATCGAAGGCCTCTTCTCCAATCACCTCCCAAATTAAGGAAAGACCCAAGACCCCTCATGGAGGAACTCGTGGGATGCTACAAGCTCTTCTCAAAAAAGTAAATAACTTTCCCAATATACCTGGAAGATTAGTCAACTTACCAACCTATTCTCAACAAAAAGTTAAGTGGCATCAGCGAGAGAGTGGAGAAACAAGATTCCATGATGACATCTTCCCAGGTGGCACTAGAGGAACAGGGGGAGTTCAGCAAAACACATAACGCCAAACTCAAGGAACTAGAGGATGCATTCAACTTGATGCTGAGAGCCGAGAAAAGCAACTCAAGGTCTTTGATACTTGTGTAGAGTGGTGTGCTGACTAGCGGCCGTAGGGGGTAATTGCGGGTGTGTAAACAGGATGGGCAAGACTCTAAGACAGTATAAACTGAAACGACCAGACGGGGAGATAACTGGGCCAAGGGTCAGCGAGGGGAACCATCTGGGAGCTCCCGGAACCCGCTAGAGAGTTCCAGAAAGGGGGCGTGGCCATGGCGGAGCCACGGACATGCTGGGAGCATAAAAGGGAGCGGGGAACAGGACTCGGGGCGCCGCGAGGAAATTGGGATAGTCTTCGTCGTCGCTGTCATCGTGACCGTCGTCTCTGTCACTTTTTCCCACTGCTTCGTCGTCGTCGTCGCTCGCTAGATAGTCAGCCAGCTATCTAGGAGTCGGCGTCGTCGCCGCTAGACAGTCACCGTTGGATTAAGTGCTACCGAGCTGTAGTCGTGTGCGAGAAATAAAAAAGAAGTCCCTACAGTCCACTGGCAGAGCCAGTGGGGGGGGGGGGTGGGGGAGGGTGGGGTGGCACGTGCCCCCCCAATGATCCGATCGAAATCCCTAATTTAGATCGGATCATTTTGCGATCCCCACTGCCACTGTGTAGCATATTATTACGTGCCAGGGAATCTATGAGATGATAGGACAATAGTCTGAGTCCATAATTGGCAATAAGTAATGGCAAAGCAGCTATAAGTGACTCACAGAAGTGTGCGCAGTTGCGTATACAGGACACGACTTCCCTGAAGGCAAACACCTTCAGCGAGCGCGATGCCGATCACACACGGTTCGAATTAGACCCTCGATCGATGGCTGTGCCATCGTCACACACGCGTTGAATAAAAAGCAAGAGACAAGTCCTTACTTACTAACAACTCCTCTATCATTTTTCATTGTTGGAGGGGTTGCCCCCCCTACCTGAAAATCCTGGCTCCGCCATTGCTACAGTCGATGTCTCTGGAGTCCTTACATTACACCTCTGTGCCAATTATCGTCAGGGCTAATATCGCAGGCTTTGTTTGTATGTGCGTGTTGCTTTGAGGAAAGGCTGAAAATCATTGATGAAGGGATGCTCAGTATGAACTGCGGAGGAAGATGTTACTGATGTGTCTCTCTGTCACAGTCCAGTCCTTTGGCTGGTCTAATCAGGCTCAGGTTGGACTATTGCAGTCACTCACGCTTTTCTACTGATATCTCTTGTGCTGACTTAAACAATCTTGAGAAAGGGTGCCCCCCCCGTCTTCCCCTCTAGTGTAAAGAGTCTTGCTCTGGGGTATGGTCCTTGAAACCAACCATAAGTGTCGAGTTTTGCAGAGGCAAAGGGCTCTGTGTTGCTAAGTGTTGAGTTCTGCGCTGAAAGTTTTATTCTACGTTTTTCATGTTTTCAGTCGCTTGCAGAGTCAAGGACTGCGAGAGATTGTACTGTACTAAGCTATAAGAGTTGTGATAAGCTATTAGGTGTGCGAATACATTTTCACATAATACTGTGATACACTAATATCGAGAATGCATGAAATTTTGTCCAAGCTATAGGCTGGAAAAGTTACGTTGTCCAAGTGACTGATATTCTAATGATAAGAGTCTTGATGAGTTTTGGAGAGTGAGCGAGGAGCAGTGATGAGCGGCGCACAGCAGGAGCCCTCCTGCGGGAGGGAGGGGCACCAAGGGTGCTCGCGCGAAGCAAGCTGCTGCTGACAAGCAATTAGGAGCAACGTGGCCACAGACTATTTGACTGCTGATCAAGCCGGGCGTGCAGATAATCTACGAACGTGCAGCGCAGCAGCTAAGAGCTAACCACGAGCGTGCTGACTCGGCAGCCCCGAGCACCCTCTAGCGTGGGTCGAGCATGATGCACGAACAACCGTGCCTGGTGCCAAGTGGCGTGATGTGCTGCTACCCAGCGGACGAGCTGCGAGCGCTATCTGGCGACGTGGCTTACATGCACACTGCTGCAGACTGAGCCTGACTCATCGACCCCTGCCAATGTGGGTGCCGCAGCCAGTGTGAGCTGCCAGCGTGTCGACTCGACAGCCACTCCAGCTGTGGACGGAGCCCAACAGGCACGCACCCCGAGTGGATCATAAGCCGTGTGCCGACACAAACCCGCCGACTCATTGGCACACCCTCGTTCGGTCCACCGGTCTAAACATTGCATTTAAAATTTTCAAACGATGTGCAAAAAAATGACGCACGAGACTCGAGGCTCGTGTCGTGAGCACTGAAGTGGATGTCACTTGGTAATTTATGGATGCCCAATGCCAATAGAGGGGAAGACCGCCCTGGTCTGTGCGACATCACAAAGCATCGCTACTCAAGGCAGAGCGCCGCGGACAACGAACGACATAACTTTGTACTGAAATTTAATTTGGATTATTTACGTTTTGAATGTCTTTACAAGAGTTACCATGACCCCTAACCCCCCACCCCCCAACACTCGATTTTGAGCACCGAGATCAATCTTAAGCGTCGGAAAGAATCACAAATGCAGGCAGAGAGCACGGAGGAGGAATTCGAGCACTCATGTCTCCCGGATCTCCTTCTGCAGCTCCTTCATGAAGTCAAACGATCTGACGATGGACGGCAGTGCGATGTGGAACTTCGCGTCTGGTGGACACAGAGTGGAGCGGCGACGCCCGGTTTTAAATGCGCACTGCCCAGCCAGGGTCACCTCGACTGCTACCGGCACATGTCCTCACAATACGAGGAACCCACAACGCATCTCGCAGAGCGATGCGGACCCTTCATGTTAAAACAGCATAGGCCACAGAAGTAGGTGGCACGGAGCTACCTCAGATATCAATTTAAGTGACCTCTGCCCCAAACAGAAGTGGGCAGGTATGTTGGAAGTAATAATAATAAAATAATCATCCTTGGAATGTGGCATTGCACAGTATTCTCTCACTCTCGTAGAGAGAGGACAACTAAGAGGTGCAAGTGTGGGGGACACGGGCCCCCGGCTCCCCCTCCGGGGGAGGGTTGATCTCGGGAGGGCTGCAGGCTGCAGGCTCCGGACTCCCCGCTCGTGTGAGAGCCGCTGCTATTCAACTCCTCGCTCGTGGGGAGAGGGCTGCTGCTCCCTGGCTCCCCTCCTCGCGCCGCAGCCCCTCGGGTCCGCGGGTCCTGTTTGGGGGGCATAGCTCGGGGCTGGCGCACGGCTGCCTGGAATCAATCCGTCGCTTCTCAGCCACTCAAACGCGACGTATCCATTCACACAACCCCGCGCACCACTCGCACGTGCTGAACCGGGGGTCAGGGGTCAGAGGGCAATGATGTCCTAAGCACACGCGTTGCCACCGAGGGCAGGCAATGGAGATTGTTTAAAGGTCTGCGGGGCGGGGATTCGGAGTTGGTCGTAGGGCGGCACACCGATCGCACACGTGGGACTGGGGGTCGGGAGTCCGAGGGCAGGGACGTCACTCGCACACGCGTAGCCGATTTGTGGGGTTGTCTCGGAGATTATTTAAAGAGCTGTATGAATAATCCCACGTGTACCCAGGCGAGTCCACCGTCGCTCACCGCGGGCACTACCTCAGGCACACGTTAAACCCAAGGGCGCATGAGTAACCTCACATATCTCTGTACGAGCCCGCCGTCGCTCGCTACACGCACACGCTAACCACGAGTAACACCCAGGGCCGAGCGCAAACACACGTGTAAATACACACTCGCGCACAACCACAGGGTATAACGACGCAGGAACCCCGGTAGGGCGCGCACACAATGGCTGCTTCAACAGAGTTACCCGCGCACAAATCCCCGTACCACGACGAGAGGACTCACACCATCATGCGCCCGTTCCACACTCACAGAAACCACACAACAAGGTCTATTTATCACGAACGATTTATTCCCGACGTGTCTGCGAGCTCCTATCACCCAAATCAGTCGAAGACAGCAGAGCAGGTGTAACCTATCTCCTGATGGTCTAACTCGACCTGCCTCGTCCCCTTAGAATTAAACTCCCTAGGATCTTATCCTAAATCCCAACTCTCCCCTGCGTACTCACGGTTTGCCTTGGATGTGCGGGAAGCCAAGGAGAGGCGAGGCTGCTCGACGTTCTCGTTGGGAGCGGGGCCGGGCTGCGCTGTGACTCGTCTCACGGACGATCCAGTGGCCGGTAAGGTGACTACCACGATCCCTGACTCGGGAAGAACGTGACTACCCTATCCCTACCTTCTCATGCCTTTTATTGTTCCCCACATCAAAGATAGTTCGGCGCTGATCCGCTGGCCTTCCCGGCCAATCAGGTGGCTCGGATTTCCCGCCACTCTCCCCGGGCCGGTGCTCTCTCAGACGTCCGCTTTTTACCCTCTAAACAAGCACATTTGTCCTACCAATCAGAGGACCGGCCCTGTTTTTCCCGCCGTTAGTGACTCCGTCCCCCCCCCCCCTACCTGCCTGCTGACCCGTGTGTGTTGTGTGTGTTTTCTACTCGCGGTGGCTCAGCAGCCCCGTCGTGACCACGTGATTACAACCCAAGTCACAGCGCCGTGGTGTGAGTTAGCCTCGGGGGAGATCGCCCAATTCCCTGGTCACAGGAAACCGTAAAGTTTGGTCTCATGAGAGGGATTCCGGGTGAAAACCTGTCGGCCAGGTGACCTCCCCTTGGGGCTCTATGTGGGGGAGTGTGTGTGTTCATGTGGGGGCTCTATATGGGGGTGTGTGTGTGTGTTCATGTGGGGGCTCTGTGTGTGTGTGTGTTCATGTGGGGGGTGGTGAAGGAGGAGCAGCGTCGGCCCCGTCGCTCGGAGGTTGCGGCGTCGCACCCACAGCGTCGGCAGGACGGCTTCGCTGCTGCGGCATCACAGTGGCAGGCACGGCTCCGACGGGGCGGCTTCGCTGCTGTGGAACCACACAAGGATCCACAGATGAGCGGGAAGGCAGCAACCATCCGGTCAGCTGGTGCCAAATTCCACCCCAAGCTCTGCGATCCTTTATACATGAAGGTGTTATCGGTCAATAAATGAGTGCTTACATGTGGGAGGAAAATGGAGGATCCGTAAAAAATCCAAGCATGGGAGGGTCAAGTGCTCAATCCCATACAGATTGAACAGGTGGAGTCTAATCTTGCTGTACACTGCCCTTCTCCTGGCAAGCCCGGGTACGGCTCCTCATCGATGCCCACAGGAAGGGATTTTCGCGACATTTTTCCTCTGATCCACCACCCCTCGCTGCCTCCAACGTTCTGGAGTACAGGCCACGTGCGTAGCCACCACCGGCCAGGGACACGCTAATGTAATGGTCAGTGTAATCAGATGAGCGCCTCACGTGCTATAATCATGTAAATACAGCCGTACACGCTGCTGTAATCAGATCACCGGGAATCAGTATGTAAAAGTAAATTTTTTCCTGATTCCTTATGTTTTTACATTTAACAGTAATTACGATGAAAAATGAATTCCTCATGAACATCTCGACACACACAGCGGCACCACGGTACCCCTGTTGCCTGGCGCACCGACATTGCCCCGGCACGTGCACCGTACACCACCGGTGCACGACACCATCGCGCCCATCCAGGTTTGTGTTGTGACGATGACGGAGGGCGAGCATCGTCGGTACACACCTAAGGTCGTCCTGGAGGCGATCTTGGCAGACGCCATCGCGCCATCTCCCCGCTAAGAACGTCATCCAGGAATTCCTCCTTGGTTTGCAGAAAGGCATCACATGCACAGAGGGGCCCCAGCGATCGCTCGTTCGCTTGCAAGCACGCATCGCGGCACGCGTCGCCACAACCACCACCCTGGTCGCCGTCGACATTACTTCAGCCACATCTGCACGTCCTCCTGCAAGTCAGCAGCAAAGAGATGGCGACGGGACAAGCAGAATAAAGTGCCGGCTACCTCGGGCGACCCGGACAAATGCACGAGCCGTGGCAAAAGCGGACACCTCACTGGGTGCCCGGCCGCCACCGCTGGAGGAAAGGCGACGGGCGGCGAGTGAGGCGACGGTCGAGGGAGGGCGCCCACCTCTCCACCTGTTGGTTGCGAGCCTCAGCAGCTTGTTAATGCGACGGACACTCAGAATCTCGATTTCCTCTTTGGACTTGTAGCCCCGTGCACTGTGCACCGTGACAGTGGCGATGGGGGGGTCCGGGAGGATCGCATCACCATGAGGTGCCATGGGTACAGCTTCGCGGTCACCACGCGTCAAACAAACTCGTCCAGAGACAAAACGGGCGAGTCTTCTATTGTTGATAGAACGCATCACGGCTACAAGAGATGATGGTCCGGCGGTCGAGAATAGTAACGGAGTGGCGGCCGGGAAATGGAACGCGTCTGAGAGGACGTCCACCGAGGAGGTGGAGTGATGGAGGCGGCTCGTTTGTAGGTGTTCAGCGGATTGTCGCATTTCAGAACCGTGAGATACGATGAAGACTTGCAGAGGACTTTGTCACGTAAACAAAACGTGCCAATTAGTCATTAGTTTAGCACGTCGGTGTGTTGAAGAGTAAACCCACAACATTTACAATTTGATTTTGGCACCTGATTGGCTCACAGTGATGACATCACCTTGCTCTATTTATTCACAACTAGCGGTAAGTACCCGGCGTTGCCCGGGCGAAAAAGGCAGACACACACATGGACTTACACACAGACATCGACCCACACACAGAGAAACACATCGACTTACACGCGCACACACACACATATGGACTCACACACACATAGACTTACACACACATATCGACTCACACATACATAGACTCAACAACAACCGCCATTCACCACTAAGTGGCGGTGACATAACCACACCGCTTGTGGCAGGCTGTGTGCACCTTGAAGCCACGTGAAGTGTCGAACGCCTGCTAGCAGGAGGTCACGGGGCAGAGCCAGATGGCACAGGTCGACTGACTGAGACGACTGGCTGATGCAGTACCTGTGCCCCCTACTGTGCCAACTTGCTGTGCTTTAGCCACCCGGCGCTCCGCTCGTTGTTGTGAGCGTCGCGTGTAGTGTCCGATGGTACACAGACACACATACACATTGACCTACACAAACACACATATGGACTTACAAAGACACACATATCGACTCAGACACACACAGGGACTTACACACACACATGGACCCACACACACACATCGACTTACAGACACACATCGACTCACACACACATATGAACTTACACACACTTATCGACGCACACACACATGGACTCTCACACACATACACACATTGCCGTACACACATCGACTGACACACATAGACTCCCACACAAACATGCATGTACTCACACACGCACATACAGGCACACACACAGGGACTGACACACACACAAGTACTTACGCACACACACACATGTATGTACAGACACACACACATGGACTCACATGCACACGTGGACCAACACACAGAAAGAAATAGACTTACACTGACTCACATGGAGCGACGCACACACAGCGACTAACACACACGCACATTGACTGACACAAACACACACATATCGACTCACACACACAAACACATCGACTCACACACACACACACACATCGCCGCAGGCATGCACATCTACCCACACGCACACATGGACTTAGACGCAGGCATTGTTATTGTGAAAAGAAGTAACTGAATTAAAAAAGAGTAGTTGTCTACACACGCACACCACGCACACATATTGACTAACACACATATGGACTTATGTACACACATCGATGGTATGCATTATCACTACAGCAGTGCATACTATGGTGGTACCTGCTTTCCCTACAGCAGTGCATGCATACTGTGGTGTAAGCTGCTATGATTAGAGTGGGGCAAGCGACAGTGGTGGTACCTGCTATGATGACAGCAGTGTATAGTGATTGTGGTGGTACCTGCTAGCACTACAGTAGTACATGATGACTGTATAGCAGTATATATGGAATGTATAGCACAAAGTAATAAGCAGACAGTGCCGTGGTGAGGCCTAGTCCCGGGCTCGCCTAGATTTCCCAGCCCGCCGAGGTGTGACCTTGGCAGGCTGGGGGCTGGGCCGGTCCCCCCGGCAACGTGACAATAATGTGATGTAAGCGCTAGAATAATGATATGTAGGGGCTCTATAGCGTTTAAGGACGCATTGGGGTATAATTGGGGTGTGTGGGGAGAAGAGGACATCGCACAGTGAAGAATGTACGTGTTTGGTGTGTTTTAGCTGCATGTGTAAGCCAAAAGAAAATTTGTGGCGATCGTGTGTGCGTTGCTAGGGGCAACCCATGTGGGCAGTGCAAAGTGTAATGAGATAAATGCTTATAAGACAAATTAGTGGGACTTACGTCTTATCTAAAAGCATATAAAACAAAAGTGTGCGACTTACCTTGGACGATGGCACGTGTGGATTACTGGGGGTAACCTCGTGGGCCCTGTGCAGTAGTCGTGTATGGAGACGGAGTCGTAGTAGGAAGCAACACGTTTATTTTATATCTTTAAAAACACTCACCAGGACTTAACACGAAGGGGTAATGGCCCCTTCCACCCACAATCTGTGGAGGTACAGCCTCCGGGCTATCTATCCTAGCCACTGACCTACTCCTATAGCCCTCCGGCTGGCTGGAGCGAGGGAGGCTGACCCACCGCTGGCACCGGTGGGTCTCTGACCACTGGCCCGTCCAGACCCGGCCCTCAGAAGGATGTCGGGCTAAGGGAACCTCAGGGTCCTAGCCTCTCGACCACTGGCACCGCAATGAGCCCCGGCCCTCAGAAGGACGTCGGGGCTTGGGGTCCAGGATCTCGTCTCCAGGTGGCTCCTCGACTTCGGCTTGAGGCGAACTGAGCTCTGCTCTCAGGAGCCAGCCTTTTATACGTTTCCCCACCGAGGGACGAGGTTCTGAGGGATCACAGATCCCCCACAGCCCCCTCCCCTCAGGAGGGGTTCTGGCCACAGGTAGTTCAACCGATCTGTGTTTGTTTGTCCCGCTTTCTGCCTAGGGGCAGGGTTCTGGGGGATCATACACACACACTCCACAGCCTCCACCCCCCAGGCGGGGTCTTGGTCAGGGTTATCAATGACCCCGCTCTGGTAGGTACTGTGTAGCGCGTGTGTGTTTACAGAGTGACCACCACACCTGTGCGCAAGTGAAGCTGGCTGCGTTGTGACCCAGTGCGTGGCGAAATAAATAAATAATAGGCAAACTAACTTTCAATTTTAATAAATGTCTCCAAAACAACGCTAAATAAACTAATTTATAGGTGACAGACGTGAAAAGGGAATAGCGTGTTGGCAGGCAAATTTTTTGGACGTAAAGGTCACCGTTCGATAGGCAAATCCCTCGCAAGAGCACGCGCGTGTGGAGACTTTTATACATAAGAGAAAGAGAAGAGACTGTAGGAGCCAAGTGCTGTTAGCAAGCACCTATGAAGGCCGACACGGCACACGAGGGGGTGGGTGGCCAGCACCCCGCCCGGCCGCCTTTGTCTCCCCAGTGGCGATGTTGACACACCACAGCAGTTACTCGTTTGAGGCTGAGTCGACCTAGGGGGGGCCAGGACCAGTTAAATTAATCGTCACCGGTGGTGGCCGTGAGCGGGAATCGAACACGGGTCGCCGGGTTCGTAGCATGGCGCGCTAACTACTACACTACAATGCGTTACGCTTCCACATGCGAGGGTCACGTGACATATTTGACGTCACAGCTTACTTGCCGTGCAAAAAATATGCATTATTGAGCTCCCCCCCCCTAATTTTTTAAAAAAATCATTTTTGCATGGTGTACAGTATGGAAAGTACCCACATGCCAAATTTCAAGTTTGTTGCATGTCGGGAAGTACGCTAAACATTTTGAACAGACACACATTCACAACTTTGCCTTTTATATATGGAGATTATTGCAAATCACCTGAAGAAGCTGGTTGTACACTCCAGCAAAACATCGTACTCCAATTGTAAATGTTGTGGGTTTACTCTCAAACACACCGTTGTGCTGAAGTAACTAATTAGCATTTTTTTACGCAACACACTTACTAATTGGCTGTGGTGGTAGGTTAATGGCACATTTATATTTACGCGATCTTACCCAAAACACCTTTATTATGAAAGCCTACATGTTAAACTGTGTCGAAATAATTTATTATCGTGTAAATATTATTTGTACACGAAGCGGGCTTTTTGTACAATAAACATTGTTATTTATAAACGAATTAATCAGCTGAAGCCTCCGTTAAATCACGTGCCTTCTGTGTGGCCATCCCTACTCTAAATGTGTGTCCCTCTCCCTGCACACTGAAAACGCGCGCTGTTCCGTACACCGCACTCTCGCTAAATCCTTCTGTCACCTGCCGGAGCTGATTTGTGGTGCGTGTAGGACGTGAGTGTGGTGCACCAGAGTCACCTCACTACGCATATCCACGACAAGTATACCGCCTCAAGAAAAGATAAGCAGCTCCTCACGCACACAAGACAAAGATCGCCCGTATAGCCTAAAGCGACTGTTGGGTCAAGTGCTGTTAGCGAGCACCCATGAAGGCTGGAACGGTACACGACGGGGTGGATGGCCAGCACCACGCCCGATCGTCTTTGTCTCCCCAGTGGCAATGTTCACACACCGCACCAGGCACTCATTTGAGGCCGAGTCGACCTAGGGGAGGCCCAGGACCGGTTCAGATAACACATCACTGATCTTTTGGCCGTAAGCGGGAATCGAACTCGGATCTCCGGGTTCGTAGCGGCGCACGCTGACCGCTACAGCACCGCTCCCCACACAAAGCCACCCATTACAGTGCCACCACGAGGCCCCCTCCTACCCACACGACCAAACAACGTGCGCGCAGTGATGAACACTCGGGCCTCACAGCGAGAAGATGCTGGGTTCGATCCTCGACTCGGGCGCTATTTTTTGTGGACTGTGTATGTTACCCCCCCCCCCCCTGTTCTGCGTGGGTTTCTTTTGGATTTTCCAATTTCCTCCCATAGCTAAGAGAAAAACAACACAATGCAACTGGTATTGGCCAAACATCCCAATGCTGGCAATCAGTCAATTGGGATTACGCAGCAGCAGCAACATCGCTGCATGCTGTAACAACTTGGCAGGACCCTCCTGAAAGGGGGGGAACTGAGCCTAAGTGAGACTTCCGTGGGTCAACGAACGTTAAAAAAATTAGAATGTAAAACCAAACGAGCTTTAGAATGGCTACTTGACAGATGCATCTCATCGATACGAGAGCATCCCTTCATTGGTTAAAATCGATTATGCTCACGATGCGTGGATCAGGTTGCACGTTCGAGGCTATATTTATAAACTGGATGTTGTTGTATGCGGGTGATGGAAACTGCAACCAGTGCATTGTGCGTGCACAAAACCGACGATGGGACACATCCCACTCCCTTCCCACCATGTGTCTCTGTCAATGCGATTTATAAATAAAAATAGACAATCAAATCGTGTAGCGCTTACTCGGTGACGCCAGGCGGTAGGCGGAGTGGACGGGCGGGGAGGCGCACAGTCGAGAGAGAGGATCGTGACTTAAAGCTTTCGTGACTGCAGGAATTCATATTCTTGGGTCTTTCGGTAAAGTCACCACGTAGAAAGGTTCAAAGAAAATAACAAAAGTAACAAAAAAAACTACGACGTTTCGATCGCAACACAAGCGATCGTCATCAGGAGAAAGAAAAAAAAAGTCGTAGTTTTTTGTTTGTTATTTTCTTTGAACATATCTACGTGACTTTACCGAAAGACCCGAGCCTATAGCGAGGATCGTGTTTACAAAGGGCAGCACAACCTTGACACGCGCCCTCCTCAACCCTGCCCCCTCGGTTGTGGGGGCGGGGGGGGGGCATCTCACGCGCGCCACCGCGGCAGAGCTCGCGCGCATCATCGTCTCCGCGGTCGCCATGGCTACGGATACCCAGGCAACGCGTTGTCGCCTCCCATTGGTCCACTGCCGAGGCGTGGCAGCATCGCTGCTGCTCCCGGGCCGCCCGATCCCAGCAGCAGCAGCGTCAGCCGCCCGTGATCAACACAGCGGCATCAGCAGCAGCCCAGCTTAGCGCAGCAGCACCAATGGAGAAGTCAGCGAGTAACGGTGCCTGCGAGGTCGAGGACACGGCCCAGGGAGGCGGTTCCGTCCCCGAGAGCGGTGGCAGCGGCAACGCTGCGGCGGCGGCGGCGGAGCCCGCGGGGGGTCCCGAGCCCAACGTGCGGCTGCGCAAGGCGTCGCGCTGCGTGCGCGCCAATGCCCTGGTGCTGCTCACCGTGGGCGCCGTGCTCACGGGCGTGGCGCTCGGCATGGCCGTGCGGCGGGTCGGCCTCTCGCGGGCCGGCGCGGCCTACTTCGCCTTCCCGGGCGAGATGCTGCTGCGCATGCTGAAGATGATCATCATACCGCTGGTGGTGTGCAGCTTGGTGTCGGGCGCGGCCAGCCTGGACACGCGCTCCCTCGGCCGCCTCGGGGGTCGCGCCATCCTCTTCTTCCTCGTCACCACGCTCATAGCCTCGGCCATTGGCGTGGCCCTCGCCCTGATGATCAAGCCCGGGGCTGGCGGCTCTGACGCGAAACCCAACCTGGGCGACAGCGGCAGCAGCAGCAGCCCAATGCCCCCTGCGCGGGAGGCCGTGGACTCGTTCCTGGACTTGACCAGGTGGGTGCCGCTCACCCATTGCCCAGGACACGCGCAGCGGTCGCTGGTCACACGAGAGAACAAGCAGACGATATCGACTCAATCAGTCCAGCATGGACACGCTCTTTTGACGGTAATATTTGTTTTCCTAACTAGATCATTAAAAAACGTGTCCTTTTAAAAAAATAGTGTATACGCCAACAATGTGACAACATACGTAAGCAGACAGTTATCCTCCTTCACAAATCTGACCCTCCACACAAAATACAAATGTCTACACATGTCATCAGCCACAAGCCCTTCTGGGAGTTCATAATTTTAGCAGGGTTCCACACAAGCAAACTCTGAACCGGTTTCGACATTCAGTGCATCGTCAGCTTGATAATCATGGCTTGCATGAACCAATGCTGGTGTATTGTCAGATGTATATACCCTCTCTGTTAGTTACAAATATTTCACATAGCACAAATTAAAAAAATCGCGTCCTCCTGAAGACTATTACAAAATAAGGAGATGACAGTAGCAGCAGCAGTGCCCGACTGGGCAGCTCTCTCCACGCAGCTCCCAGATGCGCGCCTCTTCTTTCCCTGGTTGGCACCGCCAGAGCCGTGAATGAGACCCCCCCAGGTCTGCGCTAATAACAACCACACAGAGGCGTACACGGTTACTGCGCCTGCCTGTCAATGAGAAACTCACTGCCTTTCGTTTAAACGTCAATAAACAATTATTGTCAGCGACGACATTGGATGTTTAACCACTTACATCCGTTATCCACAGCGCTTTTCTCCCTAATACACTACATCTATTTCGATACATTATTATGTATTCCAGGTGTCAGTTTTTAGATGCGTATCTCTGCTCGATGGAGGCTGCAGTTGTGCGCAATGGTTATCACGCTGAAGAACGTTATATTGTCAATACAACATCTTGTCATCTAAAAAACAGTTACGCCTGTTATTTTTTAAAATCTGCAGTTGTATCATTCAAACACGATTGGAAGCGAGACGTGAATTCTGGCATATAAACTCAGAATTTCTAGATTAATCTCGTGCTAAATATTATCGGTTCTATATTGAACGTCTCCGCGTTATTTGTTTAAACATCGCAACCTGTCGCATGTCTCCCAAGCACACACAAATGCCCCAGTGATCATCGTTTACATTGTGAACATAGGGAAGGAGGCGCGTGCTTCAACAGGACACGTTGACATTCTAAATGCATCGCTCTGCCCATGTCGAGCAGCATCCTCCAGCCTCGTGCGAATTATAACACCAGGGCAGCGGAGGTTCCGTGGCGTCCGACAACGTTGTTACGATCTCCTGGGTTCTTTCGGGTTCTTTCGGTAAAGTCACGTAGAATGGAGATAAAATAATAAAAATAATAATAATTGTATCTCCATTCTACGTGACTTTACCGAAAGAACCCAGAAGATGAATCCCTGCAGTCACGAAAGCTTTAAATCGAAATTTAACGTTGTTACGATGCCGTGAAAATGGAGGATTGCTTTTTTGCAACAGCGGTGGGCATGATTTCTAGAAATAATGCTGGACATTACAGGGATTGCATGTACCTTAGCTGCTTCGATGGTGGATACATTGATTATTTCTGGAACAAATTAAATTATTCAGATTTTAAAAGGCCAAAAAGCACGATTGAATATACCATTCATCCGCTCACTGCATCTGCCCAAGGGAGCATTTTGCTGTTAGCCAATAAACCTACGCTTGCCTCCCAACCTTGTACATGTGTCACGTAACTCGAGGTGTGTGTCCCTTAACACAGGGTCTGTACTGTAGGGGAAACGTGGGTAGGCAAAGGCTTGGATTCGTATATATATATGAAGATAACAACTTAAAACTCTTGAGAAGCAAAATTATGAAATTGATGTTACCACTTAAACATTTTGAGATTTCTAACATTGTAATTGGACATTGCACCTCTTCTTCCATATGGAGTTTGCAAAAAGCAACAGGCTATAATTGAATAATTGAACACGTAGGCTTAAGGAACGAAACAGGAGTGCTTCACAAATCTGTCTGTTGCCTGATGAAGCTAGTTGTAATTACTGGTGAAACGTCGTACTCAGATTGGAAACGTGGTTTGGCTCTCCAACACACCGGTGTGCTGTACTCGTAACGAATTGGCACGTTCTGTTTACGTAACAAACCTTACTAATTGGCTGTGTCGGGTAGTGGCGGGTTTAACGGCACATCTATATATTTACATGATCTAACCCAAAAAAACCTCTTATGTGTCCATATATTTTATTTTGTAAGCCATTCCACGGCAGCATCCGGGGTAGCTGAGCATATTTTGCTTGTCCCACCAGAGTGTGCGCGTGTTACGTTGGGCAGCCATCAGTGGTGCGCATTCAACGTTTGGCGAGTCCTCAGTCTTCCATTTATGGAGGAAATATCCACACCTTCCATGTGTTCGGACACGGTTGACAGTGACCGATTCCCGTCGGGGTAGTGGAGATAAACCAGGCTGCCACTTCGCCTGCTCTTCAGTCAGATTCTTGTCTGGTACACCGCTGTTTTCCCACGTCGTCGCACCACTGGGTGGCAGGGCTCTGTTCAGCTGACAAAAGGGTCGAGGCATTGGTGGGACCGCAACGGGGCGAAGCTGATTCTTTGAAAAAAATGTCTTGGACTCACCTCAAAGATGTAAATGGGAGGTCTTGCATACCCTGCGATACGAAGGAGAGACCTGGGGTGTGTCACCTCCATTGGGGTGTCCTCGACGTCCCGGGCTATTTAGCATTGTCCAGCACATGTTAGTCTTCGGTTGATGCCCACAATGTCAGCTACTCTCCTGCTGAATTATTTTGTTTGCACCCTCACGGGGGTGAAGTGGTTATTGAAATCACCTTCGTGGATTGCAGAACCAGACTTTTTATTTAGACTGCAAGAGAAATCCGATGAGCTATGAAACTCTTTTTCACAGATGTGCAGTAGGGGCGGGTTAGCGGGTTACAACAAACAATAAAAAAATTATTAGAAGTGCATAATAGAGAAAAGGTAAAGTTCAGAAAAGAAATAAGTATATGAGCAAAGCAGCAAAATGCCAGCAAAAACAGTCCCAGACCACACACCAAGACAACACACAACAGTCATTCCACAATCAAATTTTACCTTAACATTGAACTATCGATACACGAGTAAGAATCAAAGTTACAAATCGCATGTGCAAATGTGGTTGCGTTCAGCACCAATCTTCTGTCTCAGGATATTTTTTGAAGGAAGAGTTACGATGTAAAGAGAGGAAACAAGGTTGTTGTTTTAAAACGTCGATGCTGCCGCAACGGCAAAGGCTTTGTCACCGATTACGGTTCTTGTTCTAGGGAGAGTTAAAAGGCAATTCGATGGACGTTTTAGGTTTCTTGGTATTTGACAATGGGGTTAATGAATGAGCTAAGTATAATGCAGATTTTCCAGTTAAGGGTTGTATGGATAAGCAGGGCCCAATGTAGATTTATTCTTGCATCAGGTGGTGTGAGGTTGGATTACAAGTAGAGGTCACAATGGTGACCTCTACTGTATGGTACACATAATAATGTAAATCGAAGAGCAGGATAATAAAGCGGGTTTAGTCAATTTAGTGTTTTATTAATAGCTGATCTGCAAGCAGCGTCACATCGTCAAAGTTGTAGAATGGTAGCTTCAACAATTTCCAGGTGCAGTCGAATGGGAAAAAATGTTTGTTTCTGTATACAAACTCTATTTTTCATTGATTATATTTGAAATGTGATGAATATATAGTTTGAATATGTTTCAAACCAATCAGTAAACCCAAGTATTTGAAGCACTCCGATTGTTCAATCATGTTGTTTCTGATTTTCGTAACAGGTGACGAGAATAAAACTGGATTTTTGTTTGAGGAAAAGAGCATGATGTTTTTTTTGGGGATTTAGGAGCATATTATTGGGTCTTTCGGTAAAGTCACGAAGATAGGTTAAAAGAAAATAAGAAAAAACTACGTTTCGATTGCAACACAAGCTGATGCAGGATGTTTTAAAGGTTTGAAATGGGTGTAGCCCAAGGGTCATAAGCGAAGTGGGTGGGGCTAGTGATGTTAAAGTGAGAAATTTGCATGTAAATGTAAGATCGGAGAGCTACCTCCACAACGACGAAGCTGCTGAGGTGACCATTGTATTGTGAGAGATTAGCATGTCAATGTAAGCCACTGCCACATCGAGGAAAACGAGCCACAGTGGCTGTGTGAGACATTTAAACTGTTAATGTAAAACCAGAGAGTCGAAAATAACTACTAACATCGGAAGGTAGGATGGAAACATCACAGCCAGTTATGACTTAAACTGGTTAATAACGTCCTTCCAATGATTGCTCAGTTTGTACCCATCTCAGTTGAAATTGTGTCTGTCTATATATATGGATGGCTTCATGCACGAATCTTTGTTGATATCCAGTGGGCTTGCAAAGCACCTTCATCTTAGAGAAATCAATTTCGCGTGAGCCCACCTCATTAAAACAATGGTCAGCCACGGCCGAGGTATTGGTCCTACCGTGTTTCTGATCTGCCTTATGTTCACGATGTCTTTGTATTTACGGGCTGGATGTCCTCGCTCAGTCACCGATGCTGCGACATACTAGGCAAGTCACCGATGCTGCGACATACTAAGCTCGTGCATTAACATGCTAATCTCTCACAATACAATAGACACTTCCACAGCCTCAGGGAGACCATCTCTAGCCCCGCCCTCTTACCCTGAGGCTGCACCCATCTCAGTAGCTTTCTCTCTCTCACCTGAAGATGGTCGCTTGTGTTGCGATCGAAACGTTGTTATCTATACATTTTCTATCTACGTGACTTTACCGAAAGAACCAAAGAGTAATATGAAATTGTAGAATATTTCAGACTGGAATAAAAGAATGAACGGATTATGGGAGGTGCCATTGTTTAAGAAAGTATCGGGGGTGAGTTGCGTGTGGTGGATAAGGTGACAGTGAGTTTGATGGGTCGAGCGACAATCGGGTAAAAACATAGAGCAGAGTTACTCG